GGAGGTGGAGGGGGATTGGTGCAGTGGGGAAAGGATGAGGAGGTGGAGAGGGAAGTGTTGGTGACGGGGAAGGATGGTCGGGGAGAAGAGTAAAAGAGAATAATGTCGCACGCGCGCATGTATGTGTGCGTGTGTGTGGGGTGTGTGTGAAAGCCGCCCAAACGCACATGCACTGAGCGCTACACGAATGAACAACGCCACGACCACCAACCACCACCACCACCGCAACAACAACAACCCAGTCGCCCACGCAACGACAATCACCACTGGCACCAAACGAAGATAACGCACGCCGCCGAACTCGTCAATCTTGTTGCCGGAGAGATTGAGGGAGGCGAGCGTCACTGTTTCCTCAAGCGACGGCTTGATCGTCGCAAGGTGCGTATCGTCCAGGCACATGTCTACAGTGTGGTTACGGTGGTCGTGTTGAAGGTGTAAGGAAGTGCAATCGTTGTCCGCAGCGATGTGACAGAGACGAGCCAGCACGGTGAAGGCTTCGTCGCACACACACACACACACACACACACACACACACACACGACACACACACACACACACACACACACACACACGACACACGAGACACACACGACACACGAGACACACACACGACACAACGTACACACACACACACCAGAGACACACATCATACACACAACGTACGGCTGAGGTCCAGGGAGCGGAGGGCGGAGTTGCGGGCAATGAGATCACTGATGCACTCGGCACTCAACGGCCCAATGGTGTTCCGCGACAGGTTCTGGTGGCATGGTGGTGTTGTGGTGTTGTTGAGTGGATGGTGTGTCAATTGTGTGTTTGAGTGTTGTGTTGTTTTGGATGTGAGGTGAGAGCATGCGGCAGCACGGGGGCAAAGGGCGTGCATTCAATGTAACCATCCCCTCCACACACACACATACACACAGTCACAGACACACATACAGACACACATACAGACACAGACACAGACATGCACCAGTGTGCGCAGTGCGTCGAGTGTGTTGAGGATGGGAAGAAGTTCGGCCATGCCGTTGTCATCCATTCGACAATCAGAAAGGTCGAGTGACACCAAGTTCAACGACACCTGGCGTACACACACGCAATTTCGTGTCGTGGCGTGTACGGTTGCAGGTAAGAAGCATGGTCAGACATGCACGCGCACACGCACAAGTACTGCTCACACACTGTCATACATCAGGCATCAGGTCACATCACCACACAAGCCATGCATCACACCACGCATAACACCTCACATGGACACACCTCGAGGCCAGCAGCCAGCGCTTGGCAGTGGAGAGCGGGAAAGGCTTCGTGTCGGAGGCAAATATCAGGCCTGTGGCAGATGCGTATGTACTTGTTGCTCGGCAACACCTGAAGCTGCACAATGAGCCGCACACAACACATGCGTGAGTGCCAGTGCGACAGCAACTGTTGCGGAACAAATCACAATAGTGTCAGACGACCAGACGTCGAATGCACGCGTGGAGGTGAGCTTGGGGAGAGCGTGTAGGTTGGGAACGCTTACTCGTTTGCATGCTGCTTGATACAGGCTGGCAGCATCGTGTTCGGTAAAGTCGTCATCAGAGTCTAATCACGTGTTGGTGGTGATTCAGGCCATGATGTGAGCTACGGCGAAATGAAAAGGGTGCTCATGTCTTCCATCCTGTGCGACAGCCCCACGCGCCCACAAGGCCCAGCTTCACAACAAACAGAGCCGCACAAGACACAGCCCACTTTCCCTTCCTCACAGAGAGAGAGAGAGAACACACAGCACACACACACACGCACACAGAGAATACACAGAGAACACACACACACAGAGCACACACAGCGCACACACAGCGCGCGCACACACACAGCACACACACATACACACACATACACACACACGCACATACACACACACACAGAGCACGCACACAGAGCACACGCGCGCGCAAGCAGAACGTACATTCCAGTTCAAGGTCTGTTTCGCAGTATTCCTCGTCGATCTGTAGGCTCTCGTCCACAATTTCCTCTGGCACGGGCTTGTCATCATCGTCGGGCATGCCATACATGGCCCTGATCTCGCGCATCTCTTCCCTGATGGCCTCTTCCTCCGCCTCGTCAGAATCAACCCGATCCTCCACCTCGTCCGCGTCATCGCTGTCGACCGCATCCTCCGGCAAGCCAAATCGCTTGATGAGGTTGAGACGCTCTTGCCGCTGCTGTTTCATCTCTGCTACCGACAGCCGCTTCTGCTTTGGTGCCGGCTTTGCTTGCGAAGCGAGGACGGCTTGCACCAGTGTTTGTTTCGTTTGCTGCGGCTGTGTTTGTTGCTGCTGCTGTTGCTGCTGTTGCTGCTGCTGTTGTTGTTGTTGTTGTTGCCGTTGGCTTGAACCGCTGCGACGCGTTGCAGCAGCGACATCTGGCTTTGCTGTTGCTGCTTCATTGTCAGCTTCCCCTGCATTGCCAGAGTCACTGGGTATGCTGCCGATGCTGTTCACAGAGCTGCGGCGGCTGTCACTGCTGAAGGAGCCGATGCTGTTCACGTCAGCGTCAGCGGCCTCATTACCTTCTTCCCCTTGTTCGTGGCCATTGCCTCGTCTCTCCCTACCTTCACCAGCCCTTGCCTCCTCTTCCTCCACCACGGGGGCACCTGCATCCTCCTCCTCCTCCTCCTCCTGCTCAGGCACCGCAGGCAGCTGTTCTTCCACAACTTCAGCCATATCCCTTGGTGGCGATGCGCGAGATTCGCTTGCGGTTGGCAACGGCTCTATCAGACACCATAAAGTGCAGCGTGTTTATTTTGGTGTGCGGGAATTTTTTTCTTCGCTCCGCGAAATTTGAACTTGGCATTTCCGTTGAAAGCACACAAACACCAACACATCAACAACCTCTCGCTCGACGACCTCCTCCACCTCCCCGCATATCACGACCATCACCACAGCGAGGTTGCTCAACACACATCAACAAAGGACCAAGCCAGAGCAGAGCATTACTGGAGCTTTACCCAAGGTTCAGTTCAGGTTGCTGCCAAAACCACAGGAACAAGTTTTTGACAAATCATCATCATGCCACCATCTGCTGGTTCGTCGCGCAAGTCTGCTCGCGAGTGCAACATCCAGGTTGCCGTGCGCTGCAGGCCTTTGAACCGCAAGGAACAAGATGAAAACTCGCCTTCCATTGTGGAATGCACGCCGCAACTCAGCAAGATCACCGTCAAGGTGTGTGTGCGTGTGGGGGGAGATACAGACAGAGACAGAGACTGACTGACTGACTGACTGACAGAGTGACAGAGAGAGAGAGAGAGATTCAGCGGTGTTTACATTCACCTCATTTGCATCGGAGTAGACAAGGGCAATCCGTTTGTTTGTTTGTTTGTTTGTTTTTATTACTTGTTTGTGCCCAGTGCCGTGGTCACAACACGAGATGGATGGGCAACGCACCTTTCTCACACTCGCTCGTGCTACTCGTGTACATGCGTGTGTGTGTGTGTGTCGAATGTTGCAGGGCCTCAAGTACGACTCGAAGACGTTCGCGTACGACCACGTATTCCCTCCGGAGACATCGCAGGTCGACGTGTACGAGACTCTGGTGGAGCCGCTGCTGGATGAGGTCTTGACCGGTTTCAACTGCACCGTGTTTGCCTACGGCCAGACAGGTGCGATAGCGGCGCATGCAATGTGATCTGTAATGTGTGCGCGCGTACGCTCAGACACCGCCACTCTCAAAACTACAAACCAGATCAAATCGCTTGCGCATCTACACGTCAGCCAACAACACTCCCATACCTGAGAGAGACGACAACATAGGCTCATCTCTTCCCGCCTTCGATGTGCTGTTTCACCAAATGCAGGCACGGGTAAGACGCACACCATGGAAGGTGTTCGTTCCTCTGACGCTGTCACTGTGGAGGACCCAGGCCTCGGCATCATCCCACGCGCTCTGTACCAGGTGTGCGTGCATGCCTTTTCACTGCTGTCGACCATGGCGAAGTCCGCGAGACTGGCTACTTCTCAGTCACCGTGGTGGTTGGCGTGTATCAGTGTATGGAGCGCCTGTTTGTGCGGATGTGGCTTGCGTTACATGTTCTGTCTGTGGGTTGACTCAACTCACATGAACGCTCAACCCTACTTTGTGTTTCACATTCGGAATCAATCCAATGTGCCGCAGCTGTTTGAGAAGCTTGAGCAGACCACAAACGAGTTTTCAGTGCGCGTGTCCTTCCTCGAAATCTACAACGAAGAACTCTTTGACCTGCTCTCTCCGCTGGTATGTGAGAGAGAGAGAGTGTGTGTGTGCGCGCGCGCGCGCGTGTGTGTATGTATGTGCGTGCGTGTGTGTGCTACATGACATTGGTCGCGATTCTGCAATCATGCAGATGTGCGGTGTTAATGGCAGATAATCCTTCAAGCATTTCACACGATGGTTTCGTGCCTGCATATCCTGTGTGCGTGCGTGTGTGTTGCTGGTCTTATGCAGGACCAGTACCAGAAGCTCCGCTTGTTCGAGGACAGCCGTAGCAAAGGCAGCGTTGTGATCCAAGGCCTGGAGGAAGTCATTGTCCACAACGCAAGCGAGGTACGTGCATGCACATGTGTGGGTGCATGTGTTGGCGAATGCACATGAACACGTGTGTGTGTGTGTGTGTGTGTGTGTGTGTGTGTGTGTGTGTGTGTGTGTGTGTGTGTGTGTGTGTGTGTGTGTGTGTGTGTGTGTGTGCTTCACTGTCTGCTGTGTCCACGCAATGATGCATGCATGACTCACGCTTTCCTTTCCAACTGCTGCTGTGATTTCAGGTGTTCGGTCTTATCCAACGCGGCACCGAGAAGCGCCGCACGAGCGAGACGAAGATGAACAAGGCGTCCAGCCGCTCCCATTCTGTCTTTTCCGTCACCGTCCACCAGAAGGAGAGCTCCATGACCGGTGCGTGTGTGCGTGAGCGAGCACGCGTGCGTGTGTGTGTGTGTGGGGGGGGGGGGGGTATATCGTATTGTGTTTGTGAACCTGTACAAACGTTCGAACCACCACTATCATATGTGGGTCATGCCATGAGTATTCTCGTCACCCGTCACCTCCTCACGAATGCGATTGATGGCGCTTCCAGGCGAGGAGCTGCTCAAGACCGGCAAGCTCTACCTCGTCGATCTTGGTGGGAATGCATGTGTGTGTTGGGTGGGGGGGGGGTCGTGTTGATGTTGTGTTGATGTTGTGAAACACTCTATTGCATCGCGATGGCTTGTAGCGTGACTGTAGCAATCAGCGAGAGCTCACGCACATGTACATGTATCACATGCAACGCGCACTCACGCAAACCTGGACTGACACACACACACACACACACACACACACACACGCACGCACACACGCACGCACGCCAACTATACGGTTTCAACAGCTGGCAGTGAGAACATTGGGCGGAGTGGTGCGAAGAAAGACCGCGCACGCGAAGCAGGCAACATCAACCAGTCACTCCTCACCCTCGGCCGTGTCATCCAAAAGGTGTGCAAATGTATCGTGTACTGTGCACACGTTAACGCTATCTGATGCGTGTGTGGGTGTGTTTGTTTGTTTGTTTATTTGTCTACTTGCTGGTGTGCAATCAACATTCACCTTCAGCAACTGACACGTCATCTCTGCGTTGTTCTCACACACACATACACACACACACACACACACACACACACACACACACACACACACACACACACACACTCTCTCTCTCTCTCTCTCTCTCTCTCTCTCTCCCTCTCTCTTTTCCTTGCTCCCCCCCCCCACAGCTTGTGCAAAAGGAGCAGCACATCCCGTATCGTGAGAGCAAGCTCACGCGTCTGCTGCAAGATTCGCTCGGTGGCCGCACCAAGACGTCCATCATCGCCACCATCTCCCCTGCCATGTGCAACCTCGAAGAGACACTGAGGTGACAGCAACTCCCACTGAGTTTTCTCTGTGTACATGTGTGTGTGTGCGAACATGGATGTGCGTGTCTGAAGCACGCCCTGAGCGTCTATGCACACTTGCATACATCAGCATACACGCGTGATGCGAGTGCATCAAGCAAACATACTGGAACAATTGTATGTGTGCCGTTCCTCTAACCTTCCTTGCTGTCTGCACATCTGTCAATCTATCTCTCTGTTCCTTCATCTTTGCCACCTCTCAGCACACTGGACTACGCGTTCCACGCGAAGAACATCAAGAACCGCCCGGAAATCAACCAGAAGCTGACGAAGAAGGCGCTCATCAAGGAGTACACCGACGAGATTGAAAAGTGCGTTGTGTGCAGGCAGTGGCAGCGTGCTGCATGCTCCTTTTGTGTTTTCCCTTCTGCCACACCATTCACAGTGCAATCCACTGTGTGTGTGTGTGTGTGGATGTGGGTGTGGTTTTGTCTGTGCATTTGTGTGTGCGTGTGCGTGTGTGTGTGCCGTGTTTGCTTCTTTGGTTGTGGCCCTTTGTGCACCTCTCTCTCTCTCTCGCTAACTTGGGTGTCGACTCTTCAGGCTGAAGAGGGATCTACTCGCCACGCGCTCCAAGAACGGCATTTATGTGGACCAGGAGAACTACGAAGCAATGCAGGCGAAGATTGAGTGCCAGGAAGGCAAGATTGCCACGCTTGAGCAAGAGCTCGCCAAGACCATGGAACTCTTTGACACGACATCAAAGGAGCTGCAGTCCACCAAGTATGTTCCCTGGCATGTTGGGTGCACGTGTGTGTGTGTGTGTGCGTGTGCGAGTATGTAAAGGTGTGTGTGTGTTGTGTGTTCATGCGTGTGTGTGTGCAGCGCGAGTGTGAATGGATTATTGTGACCACGATATGAACGTGGCATGATCTCACCGCGCTAACACGCGGTGTTCGTTTGCTCGTGACAGGACCGAGCTTGAGGAGAAGACCACAGTTCTGCACGAGACAAAGGAGGTGAGATTTCACAACAAACGACAACAATCACTGCCTCCCTCAAGAGCTAGCATGGCACCTGTGTTGTCATGTGCATTGCTGAGCACTGCCTGTCTTCAACTCACATTCAACATCGCCACCCCTTCACCACGGCACGGCGCAATACGATGTGTACTGCATGATTGCAGACGCTCGAAGCAACGACTGTCGAGCTGAACGAACGGACGCTTGAGCGCGATCGCACGCAGTTCATTGTTGATGTGAGTGGCGAAGTGCCGTCTCTGTGACACACCTGCCACTGTCGTTGTCGTTTTTGCCACTGTCATTGCTTTCGGTGACCGTCTCTCTCTCTCTCTCTCTCTCTCTCTCTCTCTCTCTCTCTCTCTCTCTCTCTCTCTCTCTCTCTCTCTCTCTCTCTCTCTCTCTCTCTCTCGCTCGCGCGCTCGCGCTCGCGCGCGCTCGCGCGATCGCGAACACAAGCAGACTCAAGCACACACACACACACACGCTCGCGCGCGCGCCGCTTGCTATTGAGCCTAGAC